TGATGCGGGACTCGATCCAGGGACTCCAGGATCATGACCTGAGCCGAAGGCAGTCGCTTAACCAACTGAGCCACCCAGGCGCCCGCAAATGGCAATATTTTATTCTTTTTTTATGGCTGAGTAATATTCCACAAAACACACACACACATACACACACACACATCTTTTTTATCCCTTCATCAGTTGATGTACACTTGGGCTGCTTCCATTATTTGGGTATTATAAATAATGCTGCTATAAATATAGAGGTGCATGTATCCCTTTGAATTGGTGTTTTTGTTTTCTTTGGGTAAATACCCAGTCATGAGATTGCTGGATCCTAGGGTAGTTCTATTTTTAACTTTTTGAGGAAACTCCAGCCTGTTTTCCAGAGTGGCTGCACCAGTTTGCATTCCTAACAGTGAATAGGGTTCTCCTCTCTCCACATCCTTGCCAACACCTGTTGTTTCTTGTGTTGTTGATTTTAGTCATTTTGACAGGTGTGAGGTGATAGCTCATTCTAGTTTTGATTTGCATTTCCCTGATGGTAAAAACATGGAACCCGTCATGAATTTGTGTGTCCTCCTTGTGAAGGGGCCATGCTAATTGTCTCTGTATCGTTCCAGTTTTAGTATGTGGGCTGCTGAAGCAGGCACTGTTTTTCATAATCTTGACAATTTTGAAGAGTACTGATCAGGTATTATGTAGAATGTCCCTGAATTTGCATTTGCCTGATGTGGTCTCATTACCAAACTAAGGTAATCACAAAATCTCTTATGACCTTGTCTTAGAAGTCACACACTGTTACTTTTACCGTATTCTGTTATTTAGGAGTTAGACACTAAGTCAAGCCAACACTCAAGGGGGTGGGGAGGATTGTGTTCTACCTCTTGAAGGGAGGAGTATCAGAGATTTTGTGGGCATATTTTAAAATCACCACAGGGGGGTCAAGGAAGGTTTCTCTGACACAGTGACACTTGAACAAAACTTGAAATAAGCAAGGGAACAAGCCATGGAGAGATCAAGATAAAGCTTTGTAGGCACAGGGTACAGCCAGGAAGGGCCTGAGGCAGGAGTATACATAGCAATGTTTGAGAAGTATGTCAGGAAGCCGGTGTGGCTTACCAGAGGCAGCAAGGGGGAGCGTGGTAGCATGAGGTCATTAAGTTTGTGGGCTGGGGGTTAGGGAGGTAATGTAGGGCGCTGTAGAACGTAGTAAGGATGTGGACTTTATGCTGAGTGAAATGAGAGCCATTGAAGTGTTCTGAGCAGAACAGTGACATGATTTTAAAGATTTTATTTATTTATTTGACAGAGACAGAGATAGTGAGAGCAGGAACACAAGCAGGGGGAGTGGGAGAGGGAGAAGGAGGCTTCCCACCGATCAGGGAGCCCTATACGGGGCTCGATCATGACCTGAGCTGAAGGCAGACGCTTAACGACTGAGCCACCCAGGCACCCCACAGTGACATGATTTTAAAAGGATAATTCCGTCTGCTGTGTGCATACCCTGTTGATGGGAAGAGCAGAAGTTGGGTATCAGATGAGGAAGAACTCAGTGTTCTTCCAGAAAGAGGCTCTTTCCATAATCCAGGTGAGAGATAATGCTTATTGTCTCAATCCCTAACTCAAGGGCCATTATGAGGACTAAAGAAGAAAACATCATTAGGGTGCCTGGCATACAGTAGGTGCTAAGCACATCAAAGTCTTAAGGAATAGCAGTATCCTGAGGAAGAAAACGAGTACCTTCCATTGTCTGAAAGAAAATGAAGGTCTGTACAATGTCCTTCTTTTATGTCCAGCATGTGGCCTGGCTCTAGGGATACAAAGAAAAAATTGAGTTCTTGACTTTGAGGAGCTCAGTCTGGTGGGTTGAACATTGCTGCAAGAAATAATTCCAACTTCACTGGCCAAATGCTACAACTGATTTGGTACAGGAGGCTCTGGTGGGTCTAGGAGGAATGCCCGATTTGGGGAAAGTACCAAAGGACTCATCTGACACCCAACTTCCACCCTTGTCACCTATTATCTCTTCATACAGAAGCCAGACTCCAAACTCAAAGCTGTTTGGATCTCAAGGCCCACATTCCCAGCCACTCTGATATACTACCAACCCTGTGGAGACATGGTCTTCATACACTTATCCCATGGTCTTGCCATTTAAACCTTCAGCAGGCACTGCTATTTAATGGATTGAGGAGTTTTCAAAACCCTAAAGACAGAGGGAAAGTGAGGCTTATTATCCTCTGATTTATATTTATTGCAAGTTGCATTAAATAGCACACACCATGAGAGAGGAAATAGCTCTCTGTTGGGTATTGTATGCCAGTGGTCTCAAGGCTTTGGCAAGGCTTCCCAGGATAAGGATGTGGGAAGGTCAGTGCTGTGGTTCTGAGACCCCTCCCTCATAGGCCCACCAGCCGTGGTTCAAAAACCCTGTAAAAAACTCTGTCCATTTTATAGATGGAGAAAAATGCCCTCTGCAGGGGGAAGGCTTTGGTACAAGACTGGACTTCCAGCAATGAAAGTTGGCCTCTGAAATCACCAGTTGCCATTTAGTTGGATGAGCTTTCTCTCAAGAGAGGTATGGGAAAGAGAAGCAAGCTGGGAAGCAAAAAGAACAAGAATGAGAGTGAGACAGAACTTGAGGAGTCGAGATGATTAGCAGATGCCGAATTGATTGTGGGATGGGAAGGGGCACAAGACCTAAGGGAAGTGAAAGAAAGAAAGAAAGAAAGAAAGAAGGAAGGAAGGAAAGAAAGAAAGAAAGAAAGAAAGAAAGAAAGAAAGAAAGAAAGAAAGAAAGAGAAAGAAAACAACTGAAAAGGATGGAGGAGATAATAGGTTTTTTCCTCACTAAATACACACCAGCCGAGAACAGTACCCTCTGTGTCTGTGGAGAGAGAGAGAGCACCTCCAGCACCTGCCCTCCGCCCACCCTCCCCATCACATCACCCTGCGCGGGAGGTGGGGGCTCACTCCCCAGCAGCGTCTCATCCCTTTTTTCCTTCAACAGGTATTCTTACTAAGAACCTACTTCAGGTCAGAAACTGGTCAAAGGCTGTGAACAAGGCAGTAAGCACATAAGTGAGTTACTAAGCCCATTGTAGATAGTGGCAAAATAAAACGGGCGTAACGGGATGGGGTGTTGTCATCTGTGCAATGACGGTGTTAACCTGACTGTCCTCACTGGGTTGCTGTGAGGATTCGCGGAATTAATCCATGGAAACACTTAGCACAGTACCTGGCACAGAGTGAGTTCTCGTTGGTGTTATCCATCCTTCCTTCCTTCCTTCCTTCCTTCCTTCCTTCCTTCCTTCCTTCCTTCCTTCCTTCTTTCCTTCCTTCCATCCTCCTTCTACTTTGCCTAAAGCTCTCCCTTTCTTCCTGTGTCTTCCTCTCTCATTCATCCCCCTCTTTCCAGATCTCTCATCTTCCTCCCTCCCTTTCTCCTTTCTCTCCTTTCCACCCTCCCTTCATAAGGCAATAGCCTTGCTCTTTCCTCCCTAAATTGAAGGGCAGTGTTGTAGTAAAACAAATCGCTGTCAACAAAGTACATTTCCACTGCATTCATCCCCATGCAGAGAAGATTTATCAGGGTCTCTCACCCTCTCACATGTTATGTAAATGTGGTAATCCAGTGGAAATATGATATCTGAGGAGTCTGAGGATAAAGACACCATAAAAACTATCAATTACCCACTGGAGCTTGGGTTTGGTTAACTCACTCACTGCCTTGCCTGTCTTCTGCCTTTCCTCTCGGGGGGAAAACATGACAGGTGGTGACAGCTTATAAAAAGATGCTTTCTTCCTCCTTGAGTCCTAGGAGGTCATCTGGAGGATCAAATGTTTGTAAAGCCTGAGAAATTTTAAAGTGCTACATAATTCAAGGGTATTATTATTTCTATTGTCATGTGGGCCATCTCCGTGCCTCTTCCGTGTGACAGATGTCTGCTCTCTCTGCAAGCCTGGGCTGACCCCACGCTTGGGTTTCTGTAATCTCCTTCTGCCGCCTGAACCTATAAGCAATGCTCCTTCTTTTCACTCTTTCTAGGTACCCCCTGGTAGCCCAGAATCACATTGATGTTTGCCCTGAGTTTAATAGGAAGTTAAGCTCTCAAAAGGGATGAAAATCCTCTGAGTAGCCCACCACAGGAGTAAAGAGTGGGGCAGGTCCACAAGAGCCATGGGCAGCTAGGAGGGAGGCTAGGGTGAAAGCCCTCAGCCCCCCAGACCTCAGGGCAGCTGTACTGAGAGCTCAGGGGTGCATATGCTGCCCTAGATGACACAGAGGCTGTGCTCAGAGAGGCCTGCCCTGTCCTCCAGCCCTAAAGAGGCAGGCAGAAGAGGCTGGTGGTTCAGATCCTAATATCTGAGTCCTGGGTTTGATCCCCAGTCTGCTACTTTCCAAATTATTTCTCTCTTACTTTTCTCATTTGCCAAATGGCAGTGATAATAGCATCTTTTCATCTAGTTGTTGTGAGGAATAAATGAAACAAAGCTTGTGAAGCACTTAGCATGTAATAAAATAATTGTGTTGTTGTTTTAAGTGTTGCTTAGAATGCTTTCTACATCATAGGCCCTGTTACTCAAAGGCCTGGCCATGGGGATACAGACCTTGCCTGGCTACTTCCCCCAGGAAATGGTCCCTAGGTCTGGGTTGTGCCTGCTTCTCTTGGAAACTCAGCAGCCCCATGAGGGCTGGAGTTGAGGGACCGGAAGAGGCAATAGAAAGGCAAGAAGCGTTTTGGGGGAGGTGGGTGTTTCTTACCCAGAAATGTCAGGAGTCAGAGCTGGAAGTGGGGGAGGTGGTGGGGGTGGGGGGAGGAGGGAAAAAGATAGGATGTCTCCAAGCTGCCAGAATCCGGATGGGGATGCAACTCTGGGGTTCTGGCACTTCCTGCCACCCCCAGTCTTGGGAATGAGTCATTAGAGGGAGGAGTGATGGAGGTGTCACGCTCTGCCCACAGATCATCGGGCCCGTTCCCCAAAAGAGGGCTGATGGGAGGGAAAAGGAGAAAATCTGGAGGCTTAAGGGTGGAGAGGAGCTAGGAATAAGGGGAGAGAGGAGGAGCTTCTAAGGTTCAGCTCACCTATTGGCAGCCCAGGGAGGCAGGCCCTAGCCTCCACCTCCTGTACCAGCTTCACTGCCCAGCCTGGCCACGAATAATAAATCCACAACTGCTCTTTTGACCTCCGCCTCTGTGTTGGGCTGGCTCTCTCCAGTTTTCTCACAGTGGGGTGCTTCACATCCTTTTGCTAACCTACAGTGGGGAAGGGGACAGGGGATCCACTTGTCCCTTTTCCATCTGTCCAACTCTTGAAGTCTCCTCCCCCTTAAAGGCCTTTGCCTCTGACCCTGAGCAACCCATCTATAACTGTGTCATAGCAACTGGCTCATTTCATTGGGATTATGTTTCTTCAGGAATGCCTGATCCCTTAGCCTTCCAGCTCCTCAATGTCAGGGACTTCTTTATGTCTCTAGAGTCCAGCCAAAGGTTAGACATCAATGTATGGATATGGCCTTGGCCCACAAATACTATTTTTTCTCCTTCTTTAGCTCTCTAGTTACTGCTATTCCCAACTCTTTATATTTTCTATTTACTGAGCACTTACTATGTGGCAGGTATTTTTACACGTTAATTTATTTAATC